AGGAAGAATTAAAACAAGGATAAAATTAAAAAAGAAAGAAAAAACCCCACACCACACTGAGTGCTTCTTTCCAGCTGGTATCAGGCTCCAACATGACCTTGGCTTGAACTTGCCCAAACTTGATTTTGAAAGAACACTTGAAATGAACATCTCCAACAGCTCTAATAGTGGGAGTTAAAACTGCAAAATAATAGAAGTTGTCAGCATTAAGTCTGCACTGCATATCTAGAATTGTTTTACTGTCTTATGACAGAAAACAGTTTGAGATCTTTGCTCTGCTTTGCTATTTTTTATGAAAAAGACAACCTTCTTTTCCATTTTCTTTTCTTCTAAGAGTGAAGAAAACCCTGCACTTACAGACTGCTAAATACAGGCTCTATACACATCCTAACCTTACCATACACTAATCCAGATAAAACATCATATAAATGCACCAATGCAAAGAAACATCACTGCGAGAGATCCTGCCTCCTGCTACTGCCAAACCAGAGTTTTCCTACCTCTATTCCCTGTGCCAAGCCCTCTGTATTTAATTCTGATCAGTTTCTCCCATGCACTCTGGCAATACAGACGTTTTGCTGATCACCTCACCACAGTCCCACCAACCCTACGCCAGCACCAGGGAGAAATGTCCATGCAGGTAGCAGAGTCCCTGTTCTGGTGGCAGGGATTATTTCTGCTGAACTCCAGCCTAAGTGGAAGCAGCAAATGAATTGGACTGATCAGAACCTGCTTAAGAATCTGCAGATAGAAAAGGAGTCAATAAAATAATTGTGTGTATCCTGCAGGAACACAGCATTATGCAATGGATACTCATTTTGCACTTAGCTATCTCCCACAGCACATCAGTCTGGCCCAGGGTTTCTTCTGCTTCACTTCCACAGTTTAATTCTTGTTAATGATTTAGCAAAAAAGACAGCAAACTCCAGCCCTGACTCCTCCAGGTTGTATTGCTGCAGTGGATTTAGGGCAGAGCAATTGTGCCAAACCTATGAACAATGCGATGTCCACAACTGCGACATTCCAGATGGGATCTCTCCATGTGCCAACATTGTTGTAAAATGTAACGGGAGAAGAGAGATTTCCAAACATAGATAGTCCTAACATAAATTATGTATCCCAAACAATTTCTACTAAGTGCAGCTAACCACAGTGTTTGCAATCACTGAAATAACCTGTGATACTCACACCTTGCCACGATATCCACAGCACACTCACGGGTCACCATGTGACACAGGGAGAACAGTGCAAATTATTTCAGAGGCAACAAGAAACAAGCAAGAGTAATGTAGAAAAAATACTTGGCTCCACACTGACTAGATGTTCAAGCACGTGTTGCAAGTATTATTATATTGGTTTATGCCCACAGTGTAAACATTTTCTTAGGGATGGTGGAGGATGGAACTGAATTCCACCACTTCTCTCACAACACACTGATCCTTCAGCTCACAGCCCTGGCCCTCCTTACACAGCTGTGCTGGCAAAGGCACTTTGAACACCCCTCTGAACAGAGGAATAGGCTCCCCAAGTAGAGGCATATTATCTGGCAGAAGAGTGGCAAAAAAAATATTTCTTTCAACTCTGTTTTGAAAAGGGTTTATAACCGCCAACATGAGAATTCTCAACTGCTTTTTGTTTCATTTTATCTTACCAAAGAACATTTAAAAACCTAATTTTTTATATATTGTGCAGATCATAAGGCAGGAACTAGTCAAGAACTTCATATATTCTGAGCTTTGACTATTTCTAAAGAAATATCTTCCTGCAAAAATAACATTAGAAGTGAAAAAGCTCTTTTTTAAACAACAAATGAGCTCACAGCCTGATAGAAAAGACAGAGCAGCAGTGACTAAGTTTTTCCAGACTTCTCTCAATCTACAGTGATTTTTAAAACGTGGCATTTCTGTTTAGCAGTAGAAATTCAGTGGAAAACAGATAAAATTGGAGATGAATTTTGATGCTGCATAGTCTCTTCAATAACTCGAGTCTAAGCAATTATAAATTTGGTTAGTAAGTTTTCAGCATTTTTACTCATGATGGCCATGAGAATCCTGTCTCATACACAGCATCCATGATTTCATGTGATGTGCCCAAACAGGGAGTCAAGGGGGAGGGTCAGACAGGACCAGAAAAATAGGGGAGCACGAGAAAAATAAAAGACTAAGCTAAAACAAGAGGAACTTGAGAATTAGAGAGAGAGAACATATCACAAAACACAGGGTGGACTCTCAATCTGCAAATGAACTGCTTTTGGTTAACTGCAACCCCTGCCTTGCCCCCTTGCAAACCTCCAGCAAGTATTGGCATTTCCCAAAATCCAGAACTCACACCCCTGTGATTCAGTGACATTTGTTTACTTTGTCCAGTTTCTCTGGAATTGTCTTCCACACCAGAAAACAGACCTTACATGGGACCAGAAATGGGGCAGACAGTACAGCAGTCACTGCATGAAACAATTCAACAGCTCCATCCTCTTTCCCATCTTCATCCTTAAAGCACCTGAATGAAAGGCACAACCCTAACAAAACCAGAGGAGAAACAAAGAAAAAAAGCACTCCAGTAACCAGTTATATATTCACATATATGCTGCCCTGCAGGACAGCAGCAGCTGGTGCTTTTTTTCCAAAAGAGAAAGTGGGAATGAAGGAACAAAAGGAAAGTGGAAGTAAAAGAGTTAAGAAACAAAACCTAAGGATTTTTATTGAAAATATTTTGTCAGTTGAGACTTGTATAGTTATATTCTTCTGCTATTGCAAGTATAAAATAACTTCAACAACAGCCAGAAAGTAAAAAAGTGTTTCAGTACAAATTATTGTGTACACTAAAATTTCTGCAGATTTCTTGCTGCTTCCCCCCCAAAAATGACAGGATGTTGTAGTAAGATATTACCAAAATGTTCATACTTTTTCAACAAGCAAGGAGTAATCAGTGTGATACAGACTATTTGCTACAGCATGCATGTGCACAGCCTTGCTGCTTGACATGCTTTAATCTGCAAAAAGCAAATGCCTAATTCACCCCAAAAGCACAAACGCTGAATTTCACTACGAATATGCATGAGTGAAATGTAGTTGTTAACAATCTGAACTAGGATTGACTCGCTTGTGTTCACATTTCACGGGTTAAAACCACTGTTACAAAAAATCTGCTTCAAAAAAAGGCTCTCCTAACTTGCTAAAAATGGATGTGTTTCCTTGAAGGCAAGATCATGTGGAATTTTGGCAACGGGGAAGCGTTCTTTGGAACTAAGCTCTTTGTGAAAGATAAAAAAGCCAACAGTACAAATACAGAATGAAATCTCAGAGCAGAGTCAGATCACTGACCTTTTCCATCTTAATTGGGATTCTGTACAGAAAGTCAGCAAATCCAACCTTGAATGTGACCAGGGAATACATACGCTTAAAACTGCATCATTTGGCATTAAATGTAAACTCTTCCTGCTCAAAGGAGAATGTTGCTCTAACATCAAACACTGGCAGGGCTGTATTCACACATTTTTGAGCTGTAACACAAGTTTTGTCTCCAAAGGAAAATCAATGATGCATAGAGATGCACTGCTCAAGGAATGATGTATTTCAACCCACTACAGGCATTGTAAGGAGAGGGAGCTGCAGCTCCACTGTTGCTGGCACACACACCAGTTGGGTGGTGGGGAATTCCATTCATCACGAGATGCTAATGTGATCAGTCCACTAATCCTCTTGCCATGGGAATACAGGTTCTGCTCTCCTTGGAATTAGCTACGACAATGAAGGGCAGTTTTAGACCTAGGCTGTGCTACGAAATTTAGTTGATAAAGCCCTGCCTTTTGTCACCAGAGATCTGTGTGTGTTCTCCACACACTCTGAATTTTTAAATTCTTAATTTCAACCAGCAAAGCCTACATTTTTGGCTGTCCATTCAAACCCAAATGTCAGCAACCACCACAACACCCGCTGGCAACAGTGATGTGAGAGGGACTGAGACACTGTCAGCAGCTCTAAGCTGTGGCTCCCACCCATGATGATGGACCATGGACCATGACTCCCACCACAACCATCACAGCTGTGTCACCTCAGCCATGAACATGCTGCAGTGATGCAACAGCTCTGGTAGCTGTGCATGGATCCGAATCCTGATGGTGACACTCGTGGCTATGGCAACAGTGATGTGAGAGGGACTGAGACACTGTCAGCAGCTCTAAGCTGTGGCTCCCACCCATGATGATGGACCATGGACCATGACTCCCACCACAACCATCACAGCTGTGTCACCTCAGCCATGAACATGCTGCAGTGATGCAACAGCTCTGGTAGCTGTGCATGGATCCGAATCCTGATGGTGACACTCGTGGCTATAGACTGCCCCAACAGCTCTGGTAGCTGTGCATGGATCTGAATCCTGATGGTGACACTGGTGGCTACAGACTGCCCTCAACTAGGATCACTTCATTTGCAGGGCAAGAAAATGTTGTTTTCCCAAAAACTACGTAGCTTAAAAGCATATTCACAGTTTTCCTTTAGTAACAGACAAATCTACGACACATGAACTTGCAGCTGACAGAAGAAAATATATTTCGTATAAATAATCAGATAAGCCAATCAATGACCAGGAGGCTGAGAGACAGTATGGAGACAGAAGGCAAAAGGCAGAATGAATTGCTGCAAGAGGACAAAGTACAGCTGTTCAAGAAGAAATACCAGAATCTGGAACTGTGTA